GCTCGCCGTTTGTTGTTCTGCGAGAACTGGCAAGCCCAAATATCGAATTTGGTAGCAGTGGAAATTATCTTTGAATATTATTTTGGAAAATCAACCAGAGATTTCAAAGAAATATAACGTATTTGCATTTTTTCATTTTATCCAACTGGTAACTAGGCAAGCTCCAAATTTCAATATGGAAATTTCGAAATTTAGCCAAACTCAAAATGAACAAACCCATGGATTGAAGATTCTGACGGTTATTCGAGCAAACATTTAAGAACTCTGAACAAAAACGCAAACGTTAGAACGAGAAAAAATCTGCATTGAAGACTATCTAGAGTTCAAAAGTCCCACTTTTGAGGTTTAAGGAAAGTGGATTTTTTATTAGGTTTAAGGAAAGTGGATTTTTTTAAACCAAACCTGTCTGGCACAGCAATACTGAAGAATATTAGCGATGCCGAGGTTTAAGGAAAGTGGATTTTTTATACCAAACCTGTCTGGCACAGCAGTACTGAAGACTATCTGGAGTGTTTGTCTATCATTATTCTGAGTGATTTGATTTCGGACCACCTAATACAGATAACTTGGTTGAATTAATGAGTCAATTAGTTTAAATAGTTGGTTCTGTGTATCACTGAAGTTTGCGGTTAGTGGAGCACGGAAACATCCTCTACACCTCTCTCCAGAATGATGCCGATTGTTGGTGTTTACCTCACAAACAAAAATGTAAAAGTAACTTGTTTGTACTTCTATCAGTTAGAGCAATTTTCAGAGTTAATTAACGTCAGAAACTTTCTCAATTTTTTTTGACAAATGACGTACTTGGCCATGGAAAGTGATAATTTTTGCAAATTTGTTCATATTTCCCACTTATTAGCACGGAATGTGCAAGAATTATTTGCTCTTTTTTTGCACAACTAAGAAAGAATTATTCATACACTTGGTCTCGGAATTTTTGTTTGGAATGTGCGCTTGTTCAGGGCTAATTTTATTAGAGCGTGCATTCACCACCCTGTGTTAATGGGAGCAATTCTCTGGAAGCGACCAGTGGGGCCGAGTATCTAGGGAAAGTTTTTTTTCTTAAGTATTTCTTTCAGTATTATAAGCTGCAATAGTAACTTTATTCACTCCCATTTGGTTCATGCGAGTTTCAAAATATATCTCACTCAAGAGCTTTGGAAGGCGAATCTTTTTTGAAAATTTTGCCAAAACTTCCCTCGAAAACAAACTTACCTTGCTCTACATAGTTGGGGTCTATTTAAAGAAAATTGGTTCGATTTTGAAAAAAGCCTTGAATATTTATCTGATATTGTTTACAAAGCAGTAATGAACTCTAATCAATGGTGCATAGTAGTTGCGATAGCATCTAAAGAATTGTAGCACTTGAGGAAAAAAATGTAGCTCAATTAACTCGCTGCTCCTTCAGACTGACGAGATTTCACCCACAGGAAATATATTTTTCCTTGCACTTCGCTGCCGAGCATGTTTAAAAGCAACGAGCGTCATCTGAGTCTTGGGATTCTCATAAATGCTTCTTGGTTCTTAGGAGTTTGACCCTCTTTATGAAAATTGTAGTCCATCTTCATGCTGTATTTGCAATCGAATAAGCTACTTTATATAATAGTTATCACTCATGTTGATTAGTTCATTTTTATATATCCACTGCAAATTAGGGCAATTTTTTCAAGCATTAAAAGTATTTCTGTTTTCTGTTTTTCTATAAATTCTATAAGAGTAACTATATTGATTTAAAGGCATTTCTGTTTTACCTGAGAGTTGCTCTTCGACACAGCAAATTTACGAGTGCTAAACTTGGAAGAATATTGTAGAATTTTGCGTCGAAGGGTAAACTTCAAGGTTTCCTTCTCAAACTTGCTCTTTTGAATCGCATTATGAGTATTTACTCTTTATTTGAAATGCAATCTTCAAATAGTAACCTGATAAGCAGAGCTTGCGTCACAGATTCTCTTTTCAAGCTTTTTTATATTTCGTTAGAGTGGATCCGGAGAGAGCATTACGTAGACGAAGAGTGCATGAATCAAAGAAGCTCCTGTGACATAAAGCAGAAGTAATGTTTTTTCTTCCAATCCCCACTCAGGAAGAGCGATTGATGACGGTGCAAGTCCAGGACTACCAGCGTGGGAGACCAAGAACATCAATTTCCTTTTTGTTTAGGTTATTTTCGGTGCAACCAGGTATAGGTCAAGATTTATGACCGCCGGCCTCCTCAAATTCATTTGTTTGCGACACAAATAACATTGGCCTTCCTTTCATGATTTGTCTTTAGAGAAAAAAATGACATGTACATATACTTCTCTTGTTTTATTATGACTCTATTGTTCATTGTCGACATGCATTCATGGGATTTGTTTTTCGAGCACCAATATCCTGTTTCTTAGCAGCTCTCATTATGATATTCCTTATGCTGGGGCAAAAAATTATGCATCCATTGTCTTGATTGCAAAAAATCTAAGTCGCTCAGAATGTCGATTCACATGGCAGAACTTTAAAGTAGGCTTAATTCATTTTCTTTTCTTTCCTTTTCTTCTTATCTGCCGTTGAGTTGGTAGTTTCGGTTTTGTGCACCACTCAAAATTTTATTTATTGATTTCGCAAAAAGGCTGATATGGGATTATAGCACAATATTCATGGTTCCATAACAACTCTTCTTACTTGCTTTATTTGAAGAAAAATATCGCATAACATAGTTGATTAACCAAATAACTTATTGTCAGGTACTTTCAAAAAATAAACTGTTTTACAACTTCCATTCTCGAAAATTCATTTTGAATTTTTGAGAATGGAAGTTGTAAGAAAAAGTTGGAATATTTGCATCTTATAACCACCTCAGTAAGAGATATTCCCAAGATAGCCAGCTATGCAAAAGCATCTCTCTTATAGTTACTGAATGACCCACACGTCTATTTATTTTTTTAGTCATGATTTTTAGTTAACAACTAGTCTATTCTGGAGGTGTAGCAGTGTCCTGTCCAATAAACTGGATTATTGAACTGAATGATTTGATTGCTCACACTAAGTTCTGAATCGATTTGTTCATATACTTTATCCAGCAGGACGGGACATAAGTTTTTTCATGAAGGAGTTTTACTAATCTGAAATATTCATCTAAATTTTTAATTTGCTTGGAAGGTTGTACCTCCTATGTAGTACGATGTCACGTATAAAAATCCGATTGTTGAATTTTGTAGATTTGGGAGACTATCGAAGTTCTCAAAATTCTACCTTTGCATTAGTACCTTGCTTCCAAAAATTCGATAAAATATACTGAATACAAAACGATCGAAGCAATTTTTGATGGGTCTTAAATTGTCGAAGAATTGCCTTTACATTCAATGTAACTCACGTTTGTAAAGAATTGATATGGCACTTGCCCTTTCTTGAATATATCAAATATGGGACTTTGCTTTTGATTTTTCAAAGTGAAACGTATGGACCTCGATAGATTCTAGATTGTAGATTTTTTGCCTTGGAACATGTACTTATTTATTCAGCTTCACCAGCTTCTATATAAATCTCAGCATTTTCAGAGCTCAATTTCGCGGCTTTTTTTTTCAAGCACCAAATCATAGAGAAAGAGTGTGTCACTCAAGTTGCTCGGCTACTCTTTTGACAAAAGTGAAAGTGCAGCGCTACCCCATGCATTACTCACGCTCTGACTTCACTCTCACAACCTCCTAGTGTTCACAAAAAACGTAGTGGCTCGAATGCGTGACACATATACTATGTGAATACGATTTTTTCGCATGATTTGAAAACGAAAGCTTTAAAAGAGTCGACTACGCACATAAGCTTTTATGGATATGTAAACCTCGCACGCAATAGGCAGATTCTGCCCCAAAACCCTAAAAGTATCCGCTTACAGCGATATAGATGCTTTCACACCGAATTCTCAGATGTCTGCTCTGTTTCCCTATCAGACTGGTCCGTAAACCTCGCACAAGATTTGTGGAAATTTTTACTTTTTTTGATTCCAACAGATTTGTTCGATTCAAATTGTAGAAAAGATAAAAGTTGCAGATTATGCAAATTTTCTGACCAAATTCATATTGGCGAACTAGGAGATGCAGGAGAAACTTCAAGTCACAAACAACTTCAAATCAATCTTTGTCAATTTTTTAAAGCTGGAAAACGAGTTTAACAATATTTGCTTTATCTTTATATCCGTTTGTCTTTGCTCCTTATAGGAATATAATATGAAAAAATGTTGCTGTGCATGATTTTCAACATTTTTTCAAACTTTTTTGACGGAAGGGTTATAGACAACCCTATAGAGCAGGTCAATGATCTCTTGATCAAAATAATCAATCTCACAATAAACAATTTTTCACAGTAAGTTTTAGTTACTCCCATAGATTTTCAGGGTCTTTGTTGTGAACAAACTTATTGGTACTGATCTTAAATAGGGCTTCCAAATCGTGCCAAGCCAGATTGTACTTTGTTTCACTGTGGGACATCATAGCTCTCTCTGACTGAATTACAAGTAAAAAAATCGAATATAGCCAGAACCTTATAATTATTATATTTGCTACTCTCCTACGCTACAAACAAAAACAAAGCAAATTCTAAAATGAATATCCTAGTGAACTTCTCTCCTTTATTTTATTTCCTTTTCCAGAATGCAGTTCGTTGTTGTTGAGAAAGCTGATACATAAGAAGTTTTTCTATGAAAGAAATTGTGTAAAAAATGTAAAAAATTCTATAAATTTGAACCTGATTTATCATAAGATTTTCTTATCATCAACAACGACATGGTTTATTCACTGGTCTCTACCAATTATTATATTTCTATTCGTTTCATTTAAGTCTCTAGCTGATTCCCTTTTAAGACTTCAATCGTATCCTGTTCTAACAAGTTCTGTAAGTACTGTAAGTACTCCGTACCTGTTCATGTATCTCATAACTCTTGTTATTTGATATGGTTCTGTGTCCTTTCGTCGCATCTTTCTAGGCAATGCATTAATCACAAGCAAAAAGTAAGTCTATAATTGCTTTTTTTCAGTTAGAGCTCATTTCTTCTGTGCCATTTACGACGTTGACCTTCTGGTCGGGCAATTTCCGGCCGCGATGCTCCGATGAGACTCGCCGTTGTCCTTCTCATAATGGTTTCCAAAAGTGAGTCCATTGCACTGAAACAATTTCAAGTAGGTACTTGGGGAAATTAGTTTGATTCGAGTCACGTATTGATTCTCGTTTTAAGAGAGGAAGTAAAAAACGATGAATTTCAAACAGGACAAAGAGTAAATTTGAAATTTTCTCTTGACTAACGTAAGCAAACAATATACAGTAAACACGAGCTCTGCATTTCTTCCTCGGAAAAATACTTCAAATATCCTGAGTCAGGCAGATTTATCATTAGTCAGTGATGGTGATTACCCTGAATGAAAGTAGTAAATTTAGCTGCCGAAAAGGAATGCATGTTCATCTTGACTTTGCGCAACTGGTAGACTTCTAATTATAAGAAGACCATTGAGCACGGCTATTTGCCTTTCTTGTTACGTGTTAATTTGCAAAGATTAGCATCTCGAAAAAATTTATAGGCCTTCAGATGTGGATTTGCGTTTTTCTTGGTCTTCTGCAGCCCGCAAATCACAATTTGTATCATCTCGCAAGATATATGTATGTATCAGTGGCGTACCCAGGATTTCCGCTCGGGGAGGAGGGGGGGGGGGGAGGCGCGACAAAAAATTTTTTCGAAGGAAGGTGCGTGGCGTCAGCCACGCACTCCGAAAAATTTTTAGGGGTGCTTCTCAAAATTTTTGCGAGTCCCCAACCCCTAAAATCTGGAAAAAGGGGGCGTGGCGTCAGCCACGCCCCGAAGAAAAATTTTTTACAAGGCTAATTTTAATTTTTAAAAATTTTTAAAAATTATTTTAATTATTTACAAGTATAAACAAGTCATTTGCACATTTTTATAACCCTTATAAGTAACTTTCAAAAATTTCGCGACCCATTCTCGGGGGGGGGGGGGCGCGCGCCCTCTGTACGCCACTGGTATGTATGTATACATATCAGTGTTATTTAGAAACCGCTGCGACATTTTTTTCGAATGTATCCCAAAACACAATGATCCATACTTTAGATTTGCCGAAAGTTCCCTACTATCAACAATACAGATAGCTTTTATTGAGCAACGCTTCGTGTGAAGTGAACGGTGAAATTCATAGACAAATTCGCGAGGTGCCCGCTCCAAGTTTTGTCGGTTTCATCAACACTTCACCTCTGTGACACTTCAAATAAGAGTAAGGAGTTTCGCTGTTGTCCAAAATGTAGGTGGAACCGTAAGGCCCTTACATTAAATTTTTCTCAATTGTAAGTTCTAGAAGTCAACCTGTTATATCCGCTGATGAGTGAAGGCTTATTTGTCCTTTCTTATCATAGCACATACTTAATTTACTGATTTAATATGAACGTAAATCAAATGCCCCTCTTTTAATTTCATTAGTTAACTTTAGATTTTAATGTTTTCCCACTCTCAACTTACAATGACAAAAAGTTCCGGGAACGCACTTCATTTTTTAATAGTGCTCTGCCTCAATATGTATCTATTGATAAGCACCAGACCATCATGCCGTGTTGGTATCGTACTTACAGTTCACTTTTCTTAACCTAAAGTTGTTGCGAATGATATGAAGGCAGTGTTAGAATTGGAGAATCCACGAAATCTGCGTAATGAAGAATCACTTTACAGAATTTGAGCAAGAGGAAATGTATGTATGTAAAAGAAAATTGACTTTATAGTTCATTTTTTACAGAAAAATTTTTCTAACCGTATGGTCCGTTGCCCATAGTACTAGAGTCCAAGACAAAGCGTTAAATTGCAATTTTCTTGGAGGAAAATCTAATCAAATAGCGGAGTTACAAAATACGTCTGACCATTTTTGTGTGCAAAAAGTTTTTTAGTTTAATAGTGATACTTCTTGAATATTTGTAGAGCTAAACGGTAAAGGCAGAATATTTACCTACAGTAGATTTGGGCATGTAGTGTTTATGATTCCTGGTAGATTGAGCGCGTTAGTCTCATGCCTTTTCCTAGGCGTTTTCTGCAGGTGATGGATGCAAGCTACTTTCTTCTTCCTTTTTCCAATATTGGGTAATCGCTGAATACTGCGAATAAAAATAATTAAACAGAATACAAACACCTGCATCTTCTTGTAGACATATAAAATTTTCTCTCGATTTTTTTTTTGAAAAAACTATCTCGTAAGAGTAATATTTGGGGAGGTTTGGTCTCCACAAAAATATGCATCATTCTTGTTCTACACACTGCTTAACAAAATGTTCCCAATAGAAAATCTTCGAAATGCTCCACGATCCGAATTCAACTTTTTTTACTCTCAGGTTTCTCGTTATGGTGCGTCGATGGCAATGACTGCGAGGCAACATGCTCTTTTTGTGAAGGTGCCGCTTGCCTTCGTGTACAAAGGTGAGATGTACTGCTTATAAATGCATGTAACTCTTGACGACGGATAAGAAGGAGTCATAATTTTTGTTAGCTCTTAGGGATTTGCAAAATCATGATTCAATTTTGATGATGCTTCATATCGAAAGATTCTAATGAAGAAATACCTGGTCGGAGTGAGCTTTTTCCATGCAAGATATACGATTTTGGAGGACACGAAACGCTGATTCCAAATCTGTATTCAATATTTGCTCAGTCTCCTTAGGAGGAGTTATGGAATTTTAGAACCACAAATTCGAACATGCGGCTAAATAAGATCAGTAAGAATTGTACTCCGTGAGCTCAAGCATCAGTGATGACTGTAAGGGCGCTCTATGCAATAAAGACTTTTGATAATATGATTTGTAACTGAATTTGTGAGTCTGCACACTATGCGCGGCAACTGACGACACCATGCTATCAGTAGTTCGTCAATAAAATCATTTCTAGAGTGTGACAACCGTAGAATGGTTGAAGTAGCTGAAACATATCCAATCAAACCAAAAGACGCAAGAAGACTTAAAGAAATTACTGGAAACAAGCATCTAATCTCACAAGTCGTCAAAGGGCGTATAGTAGTGTACAATAAGAGTAAGCTATAGATAACTCGACAAAACTCATGCTTATCACCTTTCAAGGAAAGGTCCCCATTTCCACCCTGACCGCCAAAAAATCCCTGTAGCTTTTCTTTTAAAGTCGCTTGGCGGAAAACAAGAATAAATTCAGAATCGACGCTTTATGCTGTCTAGGTTTACATTTTATATGAAAGGCTACTTCGATTTAGTGTGCTTCCTTTGAGAGGAGACTCATGCCTTCATAAAAATTTCTGAAATTTTTCTTTACTCCTTTTCTTCTTTCTTTCTAACTGAATAATTAAGGCAACATCCAATTCGTGGAATATCGACGGCCATGACGTGTCTACCGCATGACTCACTTATCCATTCCTATCATCCTGAAGGTTGCCGAACGGAACTTTCAACAGGCGAAAAGCTGTGTCTATGCTCTGGACGTGACTTCTGCAACTCAACGGCAACGCTACATCTTTCACTAATATTTATTACCTTGTTCATGTTATTTATGTGAATATTTGCTGTATATTGGATATTGGTTATTCTGAAAAATGGGCATGAAATTAGGAAAGAATTTGTTAAGGTATACAAAGTTTGGCGTTCAATGTTTCGAAGAACTTTCGCACTTATGAGTCATCGATTTCAATTCGAACTACTAAACCTTCTCAGGGCTAAATACGGTAAAATCTTTCAAAGTGATTTAGTTTCCTGGGGACTCCTTTTCCCTACTGTTACGCATCCGCAGCGCGTGGACATTGCGCGACGATCTGATATTGATGCGGCAGATTTGAACGCTCATGTGGTAACCTCGCGTACGCGGCACGGGATTCCAGCGCGGTGCTCAAGCTTCGGCAAGAGAGCACATCGCTGGCACGGACTGTATCTTGAATAAACAAGCAATACGACTGCAACGCAGAGCTGGCGCAACCTGAAAAATACGGAAAACGTGGTAGCAGAAGGAGATCGCTCCTAAATGCACGATAGAAAAAGTTTTCAGCTGGTAGACGTCATGTCGCGAAAAGCGAGGTCCCGCACAATTGCGACATCGCGCCTCTACCATAACTAGGGTCAAAGTGGGTTATGGCACGCCACACCTGAGGGTCGTACTGTAAGGGTCAGGAAAGGGGAGGGTCGTTGTTAAGGTATTACTGAAGTACATACGTGTTATTTTCGTGATTATGACAAATAACCCCTGTGGGCCAGATTTCAGCGAACTCTGACGTTTCCAAATCCTGGACCACCCAAGTGAGATGGTCATTTTCGAACACTTAATTTCGTTCCAAAGATGAGTTGAGTACTTCTTTTTGTATTTATTACAAAAACTACTACTTCTTGCATCCATTGGAAATCCTACTTCAAATAACCTCCAAACAATGGAATTAAAAGCAAGCCAAAATCTCATTTGTTTCATTTTTCGCTTAATGGCCCGTAGTAAAGCTGCTTCATTCGATCTCAGCTGAATAAAATTTCAGTTGAGGCTTCGACGAGTCAGCTTGCCTTCAGTCGAGCCATTGATTGATATTGCCAACCACCCACGATGATAAGATTGAGAGCGCCACGTCCATGCAAATATAAGAGTCAAGACGAGTTTGCCAAACATTCACATCTATGTCATTGGCACTAGCGGCGGAGATGTGGCCGCACTTGTAAGGTCTTGTTAAGTCTCGTCAGCATCACTGTGGCTCCTCACCGACATGTTAAACTAACGTGTATCGTAAGTTACTCAGGAGCAACTTACGAGAAGTTTCTCTGCGTGTCATCATTGGCACACTATTTACATCAATTGGTAGTCTAAGTGAATTTGAATTGACTGAAGTAAGGTAGACTACCTCGTCAGGTAGACGGACGGTCAGCTGAAATCTCATTTTGCATTCTTACAACGTGGAGAGCTGGTGATAGGCAGTCTACCTTACTGAATCTTGGATGAGGGCTTCAGTTCAGTTTACCTGAACTGAATTAGCTTTACTACGGGCCAATGTCTCAGACTAGGGAAGACCAATCAGGCTCAAATCACTTTTATGAGGATTACGAGGTTTGAGCTGTCGAATATATTTACTCTTGCCACCTTTCCTCGCGATTCCCGCGCAGACTTAGCATGTTGCCGTAATCCAATTTTTTCGCAGTATCCATTTGCATAGAGGAAAAGCGAGTATATCTTTCCCTAGGAGAAACAATTTCGAATGAAATTTCTGCTGTATGCAGAAGAAGGTTCAGCAGTAGCAACGATGTAGAAAAGACAGATATTTGCATGCTTTGAAGGTAACTTGATAGAGTACAGCACAATCCCTAAATATGTGGTAGCCACAGCTTTTTAGGTGTTATGCCACACCTCATTACTTCGAAGGGAATTTCAACGAACAAAATATACATGGTTCGATAGCCGGAATCTCCTAGATTCAAAGAAGTAATTAGAGCTGAATTCGTCTTCTTCCTTTCGAGCAATAGTTGTTTGAAGGACAACCACTGTAAGCAAAAAAATGGGACAAATGAGATTTTGGCTGGCTCATAATTCCATAGTTTGAGGTTATTTGGAGCAGGGTTCACGGTGGGCAAACAGGTAGTAGAGTGAGTGTAGTGGGTGGGTGGGTGCTTTGTAGTGGGTGCAAAAAGAGGAGCTAATTCGCTTTAGAAATATATTAGGTTGTGCAATAAGTTCGTTCGCATTTTTTTGTTTGGATTTTTTCTCAATATTTTGCCGAGCATTTGGCAAAATGTTAGTATGCGTTCGGAAGCTCTAAGTCTGCTCCATCAACCTTCGTTTATTATATTTTCACCTCTTTTAAAGTTGAACAAAAATTTGACTACACACCGAAAAAACTGAGAAGACAAAAACTCCATTTTCGACATCTTTTTTCTTCCTTGATTTTCCCGTTATTCATTGTTGAAATTTGTTCAAAAAGCTTGACAACGAAGAAAAACAATGACCAATCATTTATGCATTCAATGAAACTGTTTACGATCACCCGCTTCCTTTCACCTTCCGTTTAATGCAATTTTTGCAAAATCGGCGTAGCAAGGCTTTGCCGCAGGGTTGTTCGTTGTCTCGCGTACGTGGGCTCTATGTCCCCTGAATTCTGAATTTTTGACTATATAATCCATTTATTCAATGATTTAGCGATCACAGAACACTTGTCTTCCAATTCCTGGATTGTTCGGCTACCACCCTTCTTCAAAAGTGCCTTCAGATGCTCAACGTCGACGTCAAAGAGACATAAAAACATACATATTTTTGAGCTTACAGTATGAACTTTTGAAAGGTTTTAGCACCTACAAGTAATCTGTGGGAGCTACGGTATTCTATTTTTACATGTCGCAAAATTTTTGAGCCGTTTCTTAAGCTCTCAAACCCATTCGAGACCCAGCATAACATGGTTGTCGAAAATGGGTTTTTCGCCATTTCAGATTTTTCTGGTCGTAGTCAAATTTTTTATTCGACTTCTCAAGAACTGGGAATATAATGATAGTATTTTGGTAGAGTAGACTAGAGCTTCCGAATGCATGCTAACCCTATGCCAAATGCTTTGTAAAACACTGAGAAACAATTGAAACAAAAAATGCGAACGAACTTATTACACAACCTAATAGATAACCAGGTTTGAAAATGATCACTTCACTTGGGTGTCTCAATATCGGGAACCTTCAGAATTCGCTAAAACTTGGCCTAAAGGGTTTTCTTAACACATTGACGACCATGCAGAATTTTATTTGTCTGCCGTCAGGGACCAAGGTCTTCTACAGACCAGCCCACAGTTCTCAACTATAGTTACGCATAATGCCATCTACAGTACATCTACAGTAAATCTAAAAGGCTGTCAAAAAAGTAAAGGCCATCCCTAGATTTAGTGCAAAAGAAAGCTCATGGAATGAGTTTATCCCAAGATAGTACTCATTTTGACAGAATTCAAACCTTGACACACATGGTGTGTCAAGCGGTCCCACGCGGCAGTCATTTCTTGACACACCATGTGTGTCAAGCTGTCGTAAATGTGTTAATATGTTAATCACAAGAGGTTACTAATAATGCTTGGTAGAGCCTCAATGTCATGCCTACGAGAGGCGAACGATACTGCGGGACGGGGGTGGGGGGGGGGGGGAGAGTGGTTGTACCCAGTGGTTGCTCAGACAATTGGAAACCCTCAGCGGGCAGCCACAAAGCCGCCACCAATCCCCACCAAAAGCCCCCGCGCCTTATCGCTGCCACTGTGGATGCCCGCTGAATGCCATGTGGCTTCCACATCACTGCCGCTTCATAGCGGCCCGCTGACTGCCAGTTAAAGCAGCCCGCTCAATGCCATATAAAGGATCCCGCCCACTGCCGCTTATAATAGCCCGCTCAATGCCATTTAAAGTAGCCCGCCCACTGCCGCTTATATTAGCCCGCTCACTGCCGCTTACCGCACTCGCTCCTTTTCGGTATCCACTACTCCTTCTGTACTTGCACTATAAACAAGCTAGGCATCATCTTTTATTAATCAATTACCCGAATTAGTATAATGCAATAAGGCACATAACAATAACTTAACGAGGAACAGATACAGAGGAAAGAAATCAACTCAAAAGATCATTTAGAGCGTCTTGATACACGTACACCTAACGATATCTCAAAGCGAACAAGATAAAGATGGACGAAATGAGCTTACATTAATTGCCACCTATACTACAACATAACAGGTAACAGCAAATCAACAGAGAACAAGATGCAGATAAACGAGATAAAGTCAAAATGAAGATGTCCATGCGGGAAGTGGTTAGAGGTGTTCTGCTCCAAACAAAATAATCAGGACTAACCATTTGACGGTTTTTTAATGCATACCTTAATCGATTCGACAGCTTACTCAAGCGACAATGCTAGGTATGCCTGGTTTTGGTTCTGCAGTTCTCTGAGTTCCATCACTGGGTTAGTTTCTGGTGCTGTTCTTCTTCTTTTCTGGAAATAAACTGAGTCGCTTTTTGCAGAATAGAGAGTATAAGAGTTCAAGAATTTTTCGACAACTACTCACCGCGTGTGACAGCCACTGTTTTTTTTTCAATGTCGTATTCGTAATATCTGATATCCCTCCTGCATAATATTTACTGATTTTTACTTCAACCAAACCTTAGAATATAAAACTCACAAGGCAAGCTGCATCCCTTTTAGTATTTCGGATTTGTATAAATCAAAATCGGCTAACAACTCGTCTAATTTCTTCTGGCGTTCCTTTTCGTTTTCGCCAAGCTCGATGTAGAAGCTAGAAATTTGTGTTTTGATCCTGATAACCATTCTTTCAAAAAAGCTACCGTGTCCTTTCATTTGCCGCTCTTTTTCCAAGCCTCAACTGGGGATCGCCTAACCCGATCAAATCCAAAGCAAAATCTGAAATCGGAGTCAGTGCGATGCTAATGTCTGCACAGTACTTGGTATAAACATCCCTACCCTGGAGTGTCACTTCCACTGCGGCCGGTAAATTTTGCAGCTGCTTTTCCCTCCCAGCCTTACGATGATACCTTATAGCGTAATTTTGGATTTGCTGAGGAGGCTCCGTCAGCTGAAAGTTGTCCAATGATTAGACGTACTGCGCGCGTAGGGAGAAGTAAACCTGCTGGAAGATAAAGCGAAATACGCGTGCGGAGTTCTGATAGCATGGCTCAGTGTCGTTGAAGCTAAAGCGCACCAGCAGTTCAGGAATTTCGACCTAAACCTCTCATTTGCGCGAGTAGTGTATAACAGCCAGTGACACTTACGCCTTTGAATGGTGCCGCTTCGTCTAATTTCCAAGGCCTTGTCAGATTATTTAGGGACAAGACACGTGTTTGTCCGTGTGTATCCTTTGCTTTCCGTGGCTGTGATTCGAATGAACGCGCTAGCCGATCGTACTTCGCGATTTGTATCTCGCTCTGATAAAATTGTGGATAATCGCAATTTTTCTCACTCGTTATCTTATTCTATTTCCTGCTTACAACCCAACGTCTAAGCAAGTTAAAGCCCAGATGTCAATGTCAAACTGAAAGTTTTATCCTCTTTCGTCACTTGCGGTTTCCATCCATGTTTTCGAAACCACAATACAGTAGACCCAAAATTTTTAGAGTTTTCCTACTAATTCAATCTACACAAAAATATTCTCTGAGCATTTTGCGCTACCTACTACTTGCATTATCTTCCAATTTGTAGACATATTTTTCTTCCTCTAACGTATAATATTTAGGGGAGGTCTATTAGCATTTTTGAGATAGGCAGTAGCAAAACCAATAACGTACCATCAAAAAGTGGGCTATGGAACTTAGCGCGATCTGGTCAGCCGTATCAGAATCCAAGAAAAAGTCGTGGTCAAACCTCTGGACACGAAAAGCTAGCATATGTAGTGTGTAATCGCATCATCTGCATTTACAAATATATATATATAAATAAAATTCAAAACGACAGCGTTTTTGACTTAGGCGTCAAAAAATAAAAACATAGCGTAACATCTGCAGAGTACGGACAGTACATTTGATTTGACGCCTAATATCAGAAAAGTGAGAATTTCTTATTTCTGACCGTCTTTTCGAGCCGATTGCATCATAGAACCCAAAAGACATATGCTGAAACTGAGACTTCCAAAAGTACTTCAAAGTGAAGTTCAGTAATCACAAGGAACCAATCACGGCCAAAATTGGGATTTATATGTTTTCGAGGTCATTCTTTTCAGCAGCAATGTCTGTTTTGCATAAAAGGTCAGGAGTTACAAAGAGACACAAGAGCTACAAACATTTTTTGAAAATCAGAATCCAACGGTTAGAACTACAGAACCTGTACTAGAACCTTTTTACAATTATCTGTGGGTGAAACTAGAAACTTGCCTGCATTTGATCGTAGTTGCGCATGTATTACGGACTTCCCTTCCCCACGTTGCGTGGTTCTGACCTCATGAAGGTTTTCTTCGGGCAAAATGCCACAGGCGGACAAAAGTTATGACCTGTAGCTCATGTAGACATAATCACTTGACTGGTATTTCGGAGATGCCTAATGATTATCCATAGATCCATTGTCAAGCAAAACTTATTTACCGTCTTGTTGGCTACAAGCGGTGCACCTGTCATTGCAAGGTCAGTGATGTCGTACGCATATTACGTGTACGAATAGCGAAATGAAAGAACTTATGATTTTGGCGTAAGCTCATTATTCAACCTTCACCTTGAACATTTTGCTGAAATTGAATTTGGATTTTGAAAAGTTGTTTAAAGAAATAGCATAGCTAGAAAAAGAACAACATCGAAAACATATAAATCCCAGTTTTAGCTGTGATTTGTTCATTGTGATTACTGTACTTCGCTTTAGAGTATTTTTTGAAACCTCAGTTTCAAAGTATGCACTGCGGGCTACCCTGGTTTCCGTGTTGGCGAGAGACAAACTCAGTAAACATTTTTAGCGAAGTTTGTGCAGTTACAGCGGCTACGCAATCTCTCTACCCTTGGTTTTGAATACTGTGCCAAGTCGATGACCCGTTCGGTTCTATAATGCAGTGGAGTCGAAAAGACGGTCAGAAATAAGAAATTCTCATTTTTCTGATAATAGGCGTCAAATTAAATGTAAGGCCCGTACTATGCGGTTTTTACGCACATTTTATTTTTTGACGCCTAAGTCAAACCAACGATGTTAGTTTGACTTTTATAATCCTGTACATAGGCTAACCAATGAAAATCTTCATTGATGAACCTCATCAATGTCATGGAGCGAGCTGAACGAGCTGATGCAGAACATGTTGTCGTTGAGTCAACGGCAACAAGTCCTAATCTTTTTCTGTGAGCTCTCTGCATGCTTTCTCGTACGATCGTTTTCTAATAGCAAGGTTTGTGCAGGATGATTCCTTTTTTGATAATAAGGGTTGAAAAGCCTCGTATAATCCTGTTCTCTCATTTTTACCTACGTTTGCATGTGTTCTGAAGACAAATCTGTTACTTTGTCGCGTACTCGAGCAGCTTTGGGATCACATTTCTTATACCAAACTTTTTGTATCTACAAGTCATTCAAACATGCCCAATTGGTCTTATTAATGTGGTCGATCATTGAAAATGAGATATGTCAGAAGTGCTGATCAAATAGAAGCGTTTTTGAGTCTCCTATCCCCAAAGTTGGTAGAGAATGGTATACACGATTCATGACACGCAGGGACTGGGCGCCGTTGCGTCCGTTCAAGATAGTTTTTGCATAGAGACAGCAGATGGTAGGAGAAACGAGAGAGCGGTCGGTTGGAGCGATCGAAACTTGTTAATCAGAGAAATGTTAGATTGAAGAGTTTAAAGAGACAGTTTTAGTCGGAAAATGAGTGCAAAAGCTTTGAGAAAAAACTGTGAATCAGCACTTACCTGCAGCTGGTGATCCTTCATGGAACTTTTCTTGATTTTGAGGTGCTTCTACTCGCATCACGTCACCTCGTTTATCCAAACTAAATTCTTCCCTGTCTGCACTGTCGCGTAAGCGTGAGATGGTCCGTAGCTTCGCATGTTCGTGTTCCACCTTGGCATGAAACATTTCTAAACATGATTGGTGATAAGCTACAAATACTTATAAGCATCGATCTCACTTCTACATTTTCTTGCCCCGGTGTCTTCGTATCGGGGACGTCTTTTGAGAGCCATAGAAACATGCCCAGAAGTTACTTGCAAAATTTCGACAGCAGTTTGAAATTAGCGATTGGGAAAGAAAGCGTCGATCGCTTCTAAAATGATATCGTGTGGATGATGACATCAAAAGGTTACTGAGTACAAAGTAAAGGTCAACGAGCATGTGAAAGCAATTAGTGGAATTGGTAAGACAAGTCATCATGGTAGGCGCCGACTAAGCGAGTATCTTATTCAACTTGGGGTCCCGCGCAGAATTACCGTCATTTGGCGACACGCTGGCGGGAAATCAAAGCGGAGTCTCCCGCAATGATATATTTTCCATATACTGCGATGATGAGGAGTAGAGAAGAGAGAAAGAGTGAGTAAGAGAGACAGAGAGACAGAGACAGAGAGATAGAGGGAGGTCTACACTCTAATATTTCAACAGTTGCAACAGTCTCGCGTAACTGCTTTTACCTTACCGTGTTTGATCCGCTCAAATAGTCGGTACGAGCTATATAACACAAAAGCTCAGAAGCCCAAAAGCGCCCGAAAAAACCCAAAAGCGGCCAAAAAAGCCCAAAAGCGCCCAAAGAAGCCGGAACGCCCCCTTTTGCGCGCAAGTTTTGGGGGTAGGGAATGTGTATTGATCTAGCTATCGAGTCATTTTGCTTCATTTACTATCGTCCGCATATCAAAATAATGTCGGAATTCTACCAAAAGTGATGATTATGAAGCAAGAGCAAGGACGCACGACCATCTTTTCAATGAGTCATCGTACAGCTGATGGTGCTATCGCGCTTCCGTATCTTAAGAGCCGAGCATACTCTACGCGATTTCAGTCACGGCGCGATTTGACAATTCGCCAGAACTCTTCAGATGCAACACAAATTGCACATGCATGGTGTGTATGATATAAGTGGGTTGATAAAATACGCTTTCTTTTGTACATTCAAATTGTGCCTACAATGAGTTACGGACAGCTAAAATATTGCCAAACCGCGTCGCGAATGAAATCGCGTGAAGTATGCCCGGCCCCTTATGCAACAACCATCAAAAGCAAACGAAAGTTATGGTAACTCACAAAAAACACGAACTAAGCCTCAATCTTCAATGTCTTCAAAGTTCAAACAATTCAAACTGGAGAAAGCACGGCACCCACTGTCATGGAGACGACATATACAGAGAAGAAGCTAACAAAAGAAGTTCTCTCCAAACTACACACCACGATCTCATCATAAGAGAATAGTGGTGCCATATTTGCTAAGGGATATTCTGAATGCAATAGAGAGAGAAAATCTGTGGGAATGAAATACATATAAGGATGAGATTAAGACGATAAGCTCGGATACTGACGGACGCACAGGAAGAATCAATGACTAATGACGCCGTCTCTTTCTTGCAAAAGACACGTATCTACATGTGCACAGATGAGCACTGCACAAATCAATCGATATCAGCCAGATACATGTTATCGGCTCCCGCTCATAGAATCTTCGCGACCCGCTCACAAAAACCTTGCTTTCGCAACCCCATCGCTTCCTGGTCGTTGCCAACTAGCTGTTATCGCTGCCTTGTCGTCGCCTTCTCGGTGCTTTTGTAGCAATAACGCGCTCTGTAGTTATTTTCTGACTCACGGAAGATTATGGCAGCCCGCTGATAGCCTGTCGCTGCCCGCTCGCTACTTTTCCCGAGTTATCGCCGCCCGCCCACTGAAAGTGCTTGCTATCGCTGCCCGCTGAGGGTTTCCAATTGTCTGAGTGTGTGCCACACTTCTTGCTCAAACTTGACCATAACGCGTAATTGCACGTGCCCAGCTTTTAACTCATTTCCACCATCCAGCAAAAATTCTGAGACCAGTTTATAATGGTTAAATGAAGCGAATTGCCGATACAAAACTGCGTACTGGTTCTGTGGATCGTGGATCGATACTGAGCAGCTTTCTGTCCATGTAGTACTTTCGCTTTCTGCCGTCTAGGAAATGGATTGATTTTGCGCATTGTTATTTGTAATTATTCCTTTGTGTCTTTTGAAAGATAGAAAAGCAACTCACACTTGATAGTTTTGGCGAGAGAGCGAAGCCATGTTTTGAAGTGGATTGAACAATTTCACTAATGTTATCAACGTCTGCTTTGCTTAGCTCTAGCACAATGATATTCCATTCTATTTATGAGACGGAGAAAAGATGTGACTAAACATGAGTGCAGCTTTTGGAATCACTTTTATTAAGGGTAGTTTAGTGTGGAATGAGAGCTTAATGAGGAAACCAAACCTTGACTAGTTCTCTTTCCCTATACAGGGTGTCCCAAAAGTATGTATGCACTGTTTGATCGTTAATAACTCTCTTTCCAAGAAGTCTTTTGCATTGTTTCAGGTACCGTTTTGTAGAGCTGGCTTAGATTTGCAATATAGAACGAATCACCCGCTCTCTTCATTACTATAGGATTACGGTAGAAACTTCAAAGAGGGTTTTGAGCCATAAAAGGCCATACTTTGCCTCAGAAAGGAATTAAAATAGCCAGAAAACTTTTACACTAGGCTAATTAGAGTTGCTGACTCTATTTGTAAAATTCCTAGCTTATTATGATGCTTCATTGGAGATTTATGCCCGGTAAGCAGTAACGGCCATTTTTTCAATGTTCCTAAAAAGTGCGGTTACACCATTTAGAAAGCTTCGCAATTTTGTGAATAGTTGAGTATTGAACTCAGCGTCCATAAAAACCCTATTACACAAGTTTTCACATTGAAAATTTTTGAAACGGCAGCTTTTTTTACATTGACACCATATGTTCCAAGTTTCTACCCTAATCCTACAGTAATGAAGAGAGATGGGTGATTCGTTCTATATTGCAAATCTAAATTGAAACCAGCTCTACAAAACGGTAGGTACCTGAAGCAAGGCAAAGCACTTCTTGAGAAGAGAGATATCAACGATCAAACAGTGCATACATACTTTTGGGACACCCTGTATATATGAAGCAGGAAGTTAATATGTGTTGCACATGCCCTGAATGTAACCTATAGACGGCGTTGTGTCCGAGCCGATTGAGCTGAAACTTTGCATACATACATTCACGACACTTACAGTCATCATAGACTTTTTCATGCGGCCATCTTTTGGGTCCTTATACCGATTTATCGATTTGTTCACTCCATCTGAAATGACCGAGAATTTTCCATAGCTATGTAATACGGGCGGCAAGCTCATTTGGCTCCGAAATCGGCAGAATGCGGTGTTGCAAACCGATGACGCGTGCGAAGGTATTTGCTGCTCACAACGGAGGTGTTTTCTGTCGAAATGGCTTTTTCACATGAAATTGATACGGCTATAAAGAGCATCAAACGCTAATTCCAAATCTGTCTCCATTATCTGCCGAGCGCCTCTAGACGTCGAGTTATGAGCGTTTTTTGAGTTGAGAAATTAAATGCATAATTAGGACAATATTCGTCAGATTTGCTCAAATGGTCCAATGTTGATTATCAGCACTTTATCTGAACAATACCTTCTATCTAAAGCACTCATACTTAACACTGCTCTACTTGAGCGCTGAGAAGACCGTAAAATTTTATTTTAATTGGATTATGCGTTCGTTTTTCGCACCAAGAAAATATTCATAAATCGACGTCTAGAGGCGCTCGGCAGATAGCGAAGACAGATTTGAAATTAGCGTTTGATGCTCTTTATAGCCATATCAAATTTATGTGAAAAGGCCACTTCGACCGAAAACACCTCCCTTGTCAGATGCATGACTGCTGGCAAGATAATGTGAATTGAGACAGAGACAGGGGACTGTTTTGTAAGAGGACGTGGGAGTTTTATCATGTCATGCTGGCAGGGACCGAGCCAAGGCTGGCATTTCAGCTATTCTATCTATATATACAAAAGTCAAAAGTTTGTGCGAATCTGAACCGTATCTTTTTTATAGACCCTCTTGCGCGTAAACCGATTGAGCTGAAATTCTGCACACATATGTTTTAAACACTATAGTTTTAGGCTACTTTTTAAAGCAATTCGCCTTGTCCTTCTATCGATTTATCAATTTTTGGCACTTTGCAATAAAAATGACACTTATCTGCAGCTATCAAATCTCTTGCACATTTGGTATAAACAAAAGCGGAAAAGTTCATTTCGAGTCTTACAAGGGAACGATACCCAATGTCCGTGGCCTTTTGAGACGAGATGTATATCATTACACTCGCCTTGAACGCTGATTCCAAATCTGACTTCCGTTTCTGCTAATCGTTTCTCTGAAGGATGTTATGGAGGAATTTCGAGCCAACTTTATCCGCCGAAGGGTATGGTCACCAGAACGGCCTCTACCGGCGCCATGTTATAGTCTAGTAGTTAGTGTGACCTCATAACTTGATACAGGTGTAGGTTCAAATCCTTTTGTGTTTTTGTTTTGCACTACCTCAATTAAAATTGTTCGAGATTCACTTGAATTATGGTCATTGGATACATTTTACCGCAAATAGTAAATTTTTTCCAAATTTCCAATTTTTTTGAAGGGTAAGGGCGTCCAGTTAGCTTGAAGATGCGAAAGAAGTTTATTGAGGCGATGCAAAACTGAAAAACACAAAAGGATTCGAACCTACAACTGCATCAACTCATGAGCCTATCACGCTAACCACTAGACCACACCGCACCGGAACCGTTGCCGCGTCGAACGTATTTCAGTGGACAGCCAATGCCCGCACAATCCCTTAAAACATCTCTGAGGCGATTAGCAGAAACGGAAGTCAGATTCGGAATCAGCGTTCCAAGACGAGTGTAATGATATACAACTCATCTCAAAAGGCCACGGACACCGAGTATCGTTTCCTTGTTAGCAAGAAGAATGTGGTAGAACCAGCTGGTTGCCATGTTTTCAAGTAAGTTCTTAATGTCCGAATCGACATCCACATGTGAAATTGTACGCGACTCCATGAGAGCGGGGGGTAATGTATAGATTTCGTGATTTGGCTGAGATAATTGATGGTGCGCACGAGTGTGTGTAGTTCATCAGAATTTGATTCCTCTCATTCCTGCACAGTGAGCCAAAAACAGCATTTTTCAACTTATAGAACGTAATAGTTGAAAGTGCTAGGAGTTGGTTTTTGAGTAGGCGATAGGTACATGGGAGAAAGAAAGAATACGTTCATTATGACGAGTAGATGCATATTGTGAGCGTTACTTCAAATTATCCTATGTGATCCAAGTATAGTTCATACTCAGACACTCGCCATTGACTCTCGCAGGGGATGCGCTCACAAAATAGGTAGTACCAAAATCCGGTGCACCGGCGGGAGTCATCATTTTAGTTCCCGATTTTGGTGCGACATTGTCCCGAAGCGCGGGAGCATGTTTAAACGAGTACTACTTCAATTTACTGACGAGGAAGAGTTCCTAAGTCAGCTCGGCCAACCCGGATGTGTCATACATCGCCGTAACGAGCTTGAAACGCTGATTCCAAATCTGCTTTCCTTTTCTGCGGAGCGACCTTCCGAGAGAATTTATGAGCGTTTAAATGTCTAAATTCGTCATGTTTTAAATGGCTAAAATTGGCGTAACCTGTACAGTAACACATGGAAGTGATTTATCAGTTTTGTATCAAGTATATTGATTACAAGGACGGAACACAGACAATGAAATTTCGTTAGGTGTTGTTTTAGAGCTTTCAACTGATTTTAAGCCACTTTGAATATGACAAATCTGCACATTTAAACGCTCATAACTTCCCTCTGAAAGTAGCTCCGCAGAAAAGGAAGGCAGATTTGGAATCAGCGTTTCAAGCCCGTTACGGCGATATACGACTCATCCGGATTGGTCGAGCTGACTTGGGAACTTTCCCTTGTGAGTTCATTCTGTAATGCTGCCAAAATTTTGAGCTTTATCACGGCAGTTCCTTAGTTAGCGTTAGTTTCATTTTCAGCTAAATTCCAAGAAGCTTCGTTTTTATTTCCTCTGTCACACATAAGCCAGGGTTATCATTAATGTATCTATGGTGCATTAATGATAAGCCTGGCTAGACAAGCCCCTAGCCTAGATAAGTGCAGGTTTTCTGCAAATGGGGTGTGCGATGCCTCAAATCGTATGCTGGCTTTTTAGAGATGGAAACCTTTTGTAACCGTGGATTTTCGGTACTTGATTGAAATGAAATTGGGGTTTCCTCCTCATAATGCCATGTTCATGTTTTCTTCTATCATTGTAGCGGCTTTAAGAGGCCGTCCTTCACGTTGTCATTTACCGACGACGCTCGCGAGAAATTTTTCAGCAAACTCTTGGAGGTGAGCTGTTTGGAGCGGTCATGCAAGAGTAGCAACAGAGAGAGCGCTGTGGGCTTTCTCATACTGTTAGAAGAAGCAATATTTTTGAATTGTACTTTTGCAATGCAGACATCCGTACTTATCATGGTGACAATGACAGAGCCGCGCCTCTTCTGTCAAAGGTGATTCATTGTTTTATACGATTACTGGTATTAATAACTCTTAAGGCTCAGAAAAAGCGTGTCGCCACTGAAGGCATCGAAGGCAGCTTTATCACTAAGGAATTAGTAATAGAGAAGACTGAATGCGTTGAAGATGAAGTTGAAAAGATTGAAAAAGCTTGATGTTTTTTACATTATAGTTTGTGCTGTATATTTTTTCGTTACCTTGTGTCGCAATTGTAGAGCTCCTGAATCTTATTTGCTGCTTTCTGTGCATTTCTCGCTTCCGATCTAAGCCTGCTCGAGAAGATTGTGGTAATTGTTAATAAATTTGTTGACGTTTGACTGGTTTTCGAACAGAAAAATAATAGGCCTGAGAAATGAGACCCGAAGAGACCAAGGGCACAAGGTAAGTGAAGAGGAAAGCGTGGAGAAGAGGACGCAAAAATCCGTTTATAAGAGCTTAAGTTATGAAGTCCCTTTTGACTTTACAGCAAACCTACCGACTTAGAAGAAGATGAAACAAAAAAGAATTGCTAGTCTAAAAGGGAAAACTGAAATAAGAGTGAAAACACAAGTTGGAGCTAAATACCACTCATGCACAAAAGTTTAGTATTTGAGCGCGATACATAACGAAGCGATTGAGAAAAAAATTAAGACGAAAAACAAAGGAAAGGCAACGATATGAAAATGTCTTATGGTCAGAGACAGATTGTGTCAGAGACAGAGAAGGGGATGATAGACATACTTTGTCCACGATAAAAATATTCAAAAGTGTAAACTTTAAAAAATGTATGCCCTAGGCGAGATCAGATCGTATGGTGGCTGTGTGTTAACGGTCTGATTTTGAGAAAAGTAGTACTCCTCCCTTACTCTAAAAGTATTACTTTTTGTACTTTTTGCATAATTCTTCTGTAGCTAATTTCCTAGGTATAAAGTGCAAATTTGGTATAATATGTTTGTCTATACGCTGTAAACAAGCAGTTGTTAATTTTGGCTTTGCTTTCGAATAGGTCTTTCAGCCTTCCGCGTAGCTATGGTGAAGCTCTAGTTCGGCAAGCGATTGATCTTTCGGCCCCTCACATGCCAATACAAATAAATAAAGCAAGTTAAATATCATGTAAATTTTTTGCATAAACACGACCATTCTTCAAATTTGAAGCGTCTAAATGTGTCCTACCCTAATTTTGCCATATAAAAACTGCTTTGAATCGTTATCACGGCATTCACAAACGGAACTAGCTGCCAAAGTTGGTTTTACTTTTTAGCTCTTCACTGAACTGGCAGGTCCGTATACTACAATTACCTATTTATTGCTGAAACTTACTTCACTTTTCTTTTCCCAGGCAAGGTGCTAATGTTTCCTGCTTCTCACTTTCAATACCAGCATGTTTCTAGGGTGTGTGGGGTGTGCATTCATCAAAGCCAATGTTAAATTGATGGCTTTTGAGTGATTCCTCTTTTTTGGAAATGTGTCCGCCTTTTCAGATAATCGTTCGGATCTCTTCTTGAGAACTGAAATCTTCCAGGGTTCCGGGGACACTCTTAATATATTAAAGCTGTCAGATAAGACGGAGCGTGGGGGCGGTCAGCATAATGTGACGTCAAAAAGTCGAGGAACTGGTTCCCTTAGAATAGAGCAAAGTGCTCCCCGGCAGTTTCCCAAATTTGCCGTACTGCTGAGGAAATCTAGGCGTTCGAAATCACCGAGTAAATTAATACGCAACAAATTAGCTGTTACTCTGGAAGCAGTCCGCGTCCATTTCGAAAACGTTCTTGTCGTTTTATACTTGCGTGATCGTTATTAATACTTATCTCATCCGCATTTCAGTGTTTTAATTTCGTATTGTCGTATTTTCCTTTCGCGTTTTCATGTTTCTACCTCGCTTTTGATAGGGGACTCCTCTTGTTAATTCCTTCCTTACAGGTAGAACGTCTCCGGTTGCAATCTAAAACCAGCCCATCTTAGAGAAATTGCACTGTTTTGAAGATTTGTTACATGCCTCTCGATGAAGTTGAAGCAACAAGCTAGCAGTTTACAACTGTTTTTCCAGAACATTCCACATCAAAGAGTTGATCGTCCGCATACAGGAGTTCTAAGGTAGGTGCTCCTTCAGTTTGTACGTCTTTTCTGGGATACGAAATAACTGATTTTGTGTCGATACGGATGTGGGATAGTCTTTTATTGTCTAAAAAGCAATTTGATTGTGTTAAGTAATTAGGGAAAATGATTGAGCAGTCTCTCGCTTTGTTAGTGCATGTGTAAATCGAATAATGTTCAAGAATAATCTCTAAGGCGCAGTGAACATGTGACCGAGTCAACTGCAACACAGAGCACAGACCATTTAAGGCTGGCAAATTGCTTAGCTTAGAATTTCACCTACGGAAAGCCTAACGCCAACGGCTAACGGCTAACGTTTGCTTCATCTCCTGTGCAGTACCTCTCACTTTAGTACTAGTCCACATTATTCCACTCAAAATTGAAAATCGCTGCTCTTGCGGTAACTTCGTATAGGGCGATGGGGTTAATTTAGCACAATGAATTTCATCATATTTATTTCGCCATTCGAATAGCGCCATTTCTCTTTCGCGATGGGTAAACTGTTTATAGTGGCAAAACCTAGAGGGTTTTTAAATATGCTGAATGCGCACACTCTTTTTGTGTTTCGAAACTTTTTTGCGGAAACTTCCCCTTCTCTTTTTCTTTGACCGTTTTGAGAATCCACGTACTGATAACTAAACTATATTGGGGAGAGTGGTTGATAGTGCTACTAGTCAGTAAACTCAATCTACACAACCTATTCGATCACGCCAACTAGCATAGAGTCATTTCCATCTTGATGTTGATTAATTTTTGCCAATTTTCTACTCCCTCTTCTTGTTCTGGTGCGATAGTGACATTAACATCTTGCGAGCCAGGTTCCTTGGCGGATATACTTTATTAATCTATCAAGGAACCTGGTTGGCACAATATTGATGCTAGCACATACTCTCTGTATTTTGACAAGTGCACGGTTTCTTACAGTGCCTCTTGTTGCAAAAACCCCTGCACACTGACATTGTCTTCCTAAACCTATGCAATAAAGTGAATAGGGAGATTAAATGGTTTAGCCATGATCACATTTGTAAGTGTGTTCAAAATACGTCATAAAAGGCTCAGAGATTATACTGTTTAGTGACTCCACGCTAGGATGTCTTCTCAGAAAACATTTCGTCGTTGCAGAAAGCCTGATAAACATCAACTGTTGTGCAGATAGTAGAAACATCTCAAGTGTTCACACTAAGCAGGCTGAGACTATCTGCTTTCTAATAAGGTCGCTAAATTTCAGAGTTCAGGGTTCATATATAATAGCCAACTTAATTCACTGTCTTCTCAGATTATTATCGTTTATCTGTTGTTTTGACACTTTTCTGTATCTGAATCTTTTCCTTTGTCTTTCTTTCAGTCTTTTTCGCACAACAAGGCGAGTGCTTTTGTTATCATCGGTTTTTTATCTGGTTTGTTCTTAATTACCGTTTCTTATCTATCTTGTGTGTATACCTGTTCTCAGTTCCCCTTATCTAGTGAGCCTATGTCACTTATTTGTGTGGTTATCTCGACTCATTTGCTAATTGTCATACTAATATAATAACCTTGAAACTTGTATTTGTCCCTTTATGGCATGATTGAACATCTAGGATTCCTTCATACTACGCCGCAGGACGAGGCGTGCTGCAGTTTGCTGCTGCGTCTTGCGGCGTGCGCCGCAGCACACCGTGTCTTGCGGCGTAGTATAAAGGAATTCTTAGGTCGTTCTGAATGTTTTTACCACTTTTCCAACTTATCATTGAAAAAACGCGAATAACTGGCCAGTTGAAGTAATTTTCTTTCTCTTTTCAATAGTCGTTTACGGGGGTAGCAATCATTTACGCAATCACCAAAATAATCGCCGTGATATTGGACACATGGTTCTTGCCACGCTGCAATTTTTCCAAAATTTTGTCTCAATTTTGGGAAGAGCCACTAACGCTTAAATAGTGATTCGTACATAGAGTAAATGAAGTGCAATACAACAAGTTTTTTGTGCATTTCCGATTACCTTCGCAGTATTTTTCAAGATGATTTTCTAAGATTCTTCTCTTGCAAAGTCATATGGTACACGAAAGCGTCAAACGCTAGAACTTTTCGAAATTGAATGTTCCAAAACTAGACAGTCATCCGAGATACCGAATTTTGAATTCTGGGTGCAGCCACATGCACGCCCAAAAATCCACAATTGGGACGATTTCATTTCCAAAGGCTCCACAAAACGGGGAGAAAAACGCTTAAAGAGGTGAGAGGAAGCCGGTAAACTGTACCGATAGGCGAGTTACTTGTTGACTGATGTCCTGTGAGGTTTGGTTAATCGAAATGGAATCCGTTAACAAAACGTTGATGATTCTGAAAAGCTAGCTAGTGATGCCAACATTTAAGTGTTGCACTTTGTTTGCTCTATCCAGATGTTTCCAAAGCTCTTACACAAGTTCAAAGTGAATAATTTGAAGAACTGGCAAACTTGGGCATAGGATAACCCTTGGGTACACCTGATACCCTAGCAACCAAGCAAATGGATGCGAAACATTACTGCTGCAAAAAGGAAGAGGAACTGCGTTGAAGGTTGATCGAAAAAACGGAAATATTCGGAACTACTCTACCGGTTTTATGTATGGTTGCGACTCCTCTTTGAGAAATTTTGGTGGAGTTTCAGTGTCCAGAGCTAGTTTGGGTGGGGTTCATGGACAATAAATAGGAACTATAGTTAATTAGGGCTAGTACAGTATGCCAAGTGTGCAGAGTACTGGGTTTTCGGAGAAAGTAATTTTTGAGAAACCTTCTGGGAAACGGATCTGGGAAGGTTTCCACCGAACAAGTGGCATACGCACCGCTGAGGAGCCAACGAAGCTTCTTCACTTGTTCCGCAGAACTCCAACACCGACTAAGTTGTTGATGTTTTATCTCTGCACTGTGCTTCGCGATTGCTTCATTCCATGTCAAAGATTGAGATTTTCACAACGTTGTTCAAACGACTAGCACAGACAGATTGTAGGTTATCATTCCAAAAACATATTTTGACGTCATATTTAAATTACCGCGGTATTTGATCACTT